TATTACAAAAACACATAATAAGTATAAATAAGTATTTATATTTGTGTAGCCTTTGTTTTCAGGGTTATTAACCACCAAGTTCGTGTACTCAGACCAGTAATATTTGGGGTTACAAGTTTTTGCCATGAATATTTTGTGGGTCAGAAGATAAAAAGTTTGGGAACCACTGCTTTAGAAAACCCTCTGTGCAAAGCAGAAACATGACTGCCACCTAGTGTTACATCGACTCCTGGCTATAAAAGCAGTTAAATGGGTTAAGCGATTACAGCTATTGAGAAATGTATCGATTTTCTTTCTTTCTTTTTTTTTCTAAGTGTCCCACCTTCTACAAGCAGGTTCTCTATCAATGCAGACAAACACGTCCATTAAACGCGCTATAAATAGCACTTAAAGGAGCAGGCAGAAGAACACAGATGGCTGCTGGTGTACAGTATTGACAACCCTCCATCCATATCTGTATGTATGGAAGCAGCAGCCATTAAAGCTGCATCTAAATGCTACATAGAGAAACATATGCACACATAAAGAAAGTCTGACCCATGCGCACACATGCTCAGACAAACAAACAAAAAAGGACACAAGAGGGAACTTGGACGTCAGATGACAGGACTAACAGGTGCAGTGAGTGACATGTTAGGGAAATGCAGAAGTAAAACGTGCATAACAAGGTCCTAAAATTTTCTGTTTGAGCTTTAATGGACAGAGTGCTCTGATGATTAGCTCGCCCTCTGCTCATTAGTGAACACGGCTGACCTCAGTGTTTCACATGGGGACTTGATGCAACCTGCTTATCTGTCATTTATCTTGCTCTTAGTCTTTTTTTTTGTAAATGGATTAAAGAAGAGCTTGCCCCCCCACTCTCACACAGAACACAAAGAAGCACAAAGTTACACACATACACAGAATGATACACACTTCAGGCCAACACTACAGGTTTATGAAAGCAAACAGCAGAACTACAGAGCTCTAACGACGGCACCAGCCGCCAAGCAACCGCCGTTTGCTCAACACTCGGCTCCAGTTTTGTGTTGTGCAGGTGGAACTATTTATCAGCGCGTCTTCTGATAAGAACACAGTTTGTGTACATAAATACAAGTCATGCAAATTCATAAATCTAAACCCATGGGCATTATGAAGACACAAAGCGATAAGAGAGACATCTGTGAAGCTACAGGGCAGACTTTGAACAAGTCTTCCTCGTCTGATTTACTCATGTCATCTCTCAACTTCACATACAAACAAGAGCTGCACGTCAACTAAATATAAAAAACAAAAGGCAGCTATTTAAAGAATGAGTGTGATAGGAAACTGTTTTGCAAAAAAAATAAGAGATCGGGTTAAGATCTATTTAGTGACACTTTCCCACAAATAGTTTCAAAGTCATACCCTCTCCTGCCACGAGGTTTGATGTCAATTGGCTTGTTGGTAGCGTAGGGCGAGCCGTTGGAGCAAGCGTGGCGATAGCGAGRGATCTTTTCCAAAGAAAGGTATTCTGAGTTCACCGGCAAACTCATTTTTGACGTGCAGTACTGCACATGCGTTCGGGTCGTCTAGACAGAAAGGCAGAGGGAAGAAGAGGAGAGGACAGAATGAGAGGCTGATGAAGCCACCTCAGAATGTGAGGGAYGTGTGTGACAAGAGGAGGAGAAGAGAGAGGGGTCATGATGGGTGTGACTTGAAATGAGGGGGAAAAAAATGAAATATGAAGAGGGAGAAAGGGAGATACCAGGGGAGGGAGGAGCAAAGTGGAAAGGCAGTGCAAAGAGATTCAGCTTTTATACCATACTGTGCGGCCACCGGGAGTCAGTGTTGCAACAGGAAACAGCTGCAGTGGTGTAGCAGAAACACTGTAGACTCA